TGATGCTGGCAGTTACCTTTAAAGCACTACATGACTTGGGGCCACGTTACTTACAGGACTGTCTCTCCCCAGAGGTATCTACCCATCCCGTTAGATCTGGCAGGAGAGACATGCTCCAGACCCTGTCCATGAGGGAGTGCCATCTGGTGGGATCCAAGAAGACAGCCTTCTCTCTCGTGACGCCTGTGCTCTGGACCATCAAAGACTTGGCTTTGTTGTTGAGCCTGGGGCCTTGATGGTGTGGGTGAGCCCATTTCTTGGTTGTGTTAACTGTGATGATTATCAGTGTCACTGTGGGTTGTTTTTCTCAGCTGCTATTTATGTTATTCATAATTTGTTGGGCTGTTTTTACTCTGTTTTTAATCCCCCCAGAGTGTTGTACTTGATATGAGCAGCCAAATAAATAAATAAATAAGAGAAGAATTTTATCAGTGAGACTCCAATTCGCTCATTATTTTCATTCTATTATTGGATTCTGGAAGTTCCTGAACTATTACCCATATATTTTACTCAGATCTATAATGGGGTGAACATTTTTTTAAACTGTAGACTAACAAAGAATTGTGAATTAGCTTTATAGACCTATAAAGCTAAATCAACTGATTTACAGTTGGACCATGGACACTGTATTAAAGTGTGCAGTACTTCTGATTTGATTCTGAAAAGGTGCTTTAGGGTATATTTCTACAACTTTTTAAGGCAGCTATATCTTTTCCCAAGATTGCACAGCAGCCAAATCACTCTTTTTGGATCAAATCTGAAGTGGTGTATAGCCCTAATACATCTGCCTCTTGCCCCTTTATGATAGATGCAATTTATAGGCTTCCTGATTCTTGATGACTCTGGGCAACTTACTATTAGAAAGTAAAAAAATACAAAAGATGAAAAAGAGACCATAAGTGGCTTAAAGACAACATGTACACCAAAAAACGTATCCAGCAAGGGCTCAGACTTCTCTCTGCCTCAAGGCCTGGGAGAATAGGCAGGATTTTAATAGCTTCCTGAATGTCAACAGGGTAGGAGTCATCCAGATTTCTGGGAGGATATAATTCCAGAGGGCAGGTGTTGCAACAGAGAAAGCAGGCCTCCTGGGTTTCACTAGATGATATGGGACCCAAAGTGCACCCACTCTGTATGATCTTACCAGAAGAAAAGGAAGAACTGGAGACAGGCAATCCTTCAAATAACCACACTCTACAGGTAGTCCCTGTTTAGTGACTGCCTCATTTAGCAACCATTCACAGTTATGATAGTGATGAAAAAGTAACTTTATGACCAGTCCTCACATTTACAACCTTTGCAGGTCTGTAAAGCAAAGGAAAGCTGAAGTAAAATCATAAGCACATGACCAGTCCTCACATTTACAACCTTTGCAGGTCTGTAAAGCAAAGGAAAGCTGAAGTAAAATCATAAGCACATGACCAGTCCTCACATTTACAACCTTTGCAGGTCTGTAAAGCAAAGGAAAGCTGAAGTAAAATCATAAGCACATGACCAGTCCTCACATTTACAACCTTTGCAGGTCTGTAAAGCAAAGGAAAGCTGAAGTAAAATCATAAGCACTGTCATGGTTTCACTTAGTGACCACTTCACTTAACAACCAAGTTGCCAGACCCAATTGTGGTTGCTAAACAAGGACTACCTGTATACCATGAAGGGCTTTATAGGCAATAACCAATTAATATATAGCCAATCAATAACCAGTACAGTTCACAGAACAGCAATATGGGCATATGGGTATATTGTGCAGTCACATTCTGTACCAGCTGTAGCTTCCAAGTGGTCCTTAAGGGCAGCCCCATGTAGAACACATTGCAATGATCCATTTGTGAAGTGACTAGGATATGAATGACTGTCTGAAGGGGCAGTCCAGGATAATGTACAACTGATGCACTAGATGCCCCCCACTCCTAAATCTCACGGCTGGTGCAGAAGGATACCATGATCAACAACATCAAATGCTGCTGAGAAATTAAGCAGCACAAAGATGGATGCACTAGTCCCACACTGGCTCCAGCACAGAACATCAATAGACATGACCAATGCTGTGTCCATACTATAATTTGGCTTAAGACCCAACAGAACGAAATCCAGGATCATATGGAGCTGAAGCCCAGCTACCTTCTCAACAACCTTACTCACAGATCCACTTTCTTAGGAGTCACAGCCACAAACTTGCTCCAGATGGACTTCTCTGCCACATTCATTCACTATGAATGAATCTACCTACTTATTCTGCAAGATAGCAAGAATAGTCCTTACAATACCCAACAGATGTTCCTGTCACTGATCCCTCTCCAGCAATGAATGAATCACCTTAAACAGGGTGGCTATCACCAGACACAATAAAGGCAGAGAAATATATGTATCTCTGTATCTGTTTGGCAAAAATGCAGAACCATATAAAAGAAGGCAAAAATGAGAGATGAGCCAAAGTAATAAATTAACAACAAAAGTAATTTTTAAACGGAGACAAAATGCAATGGTATGAAGACAGTCCTAGAATACACACCATGCTTTCTCAGTTATCCACTTCAGAAAACAGAGGCAAGGAAATTTAGTGGGGGAAGAGGAATAAACACTACAATTTTACCATCAATTTTATTGTGCTTTAAGAAGGTTTGATGGTATAATGCCAGTAAAATTGGCTTCTTCCTGATAAAATACAGCTTTGATAGAAGATGAAACCAAGAGCAATTTAGAAATTTCTTTTTTGATAGCATGATACTGCTGCTGAGGAAAAGCAAGAAAATTATTGATCACAAAGTCAATTGCCATGGGAGGATGGGAGGACTGACAAATGCCCATATTAAGAATTAAACTAAATGTGAAACCAAGAAATGGGAATAAAAGAGTCAAACAACGTGCCAAAGGAAAGAAGCATACAGAAACGGAAAGAGATATAGGAGAGAAACCATAATGCAATTAATGGGACATTTTATCATGCTTGGTGGGTGGGTAAAAAAGCTAGAAAATGTTGGATTCAAATACAGACACTGATTCAGAGGATTTTAAGGGTTACTATACAATTGAAACCAGAGGTCTTTCTTCTGGAACTGATGGACAAACAGTTGGAAAAAAGTCATAGAACTTGTTTTTGTACATGACAATTGCAGCAAGATTATTGTATGCACAAAGGTGGAAAGATTCGGCAATACTGTACCTACAATGGAGGAATGGTTGGTGAAGATGATGGAATCACCAAGATGGTCAAATTGACTTCTTTTATTAGAGAAAAGACAGTATCTACATTTATTGCAGACTGGAAACTTCTTATGGATTTTTTGCAGAAAACAGAAAAAAATGAACTTATGATTTTGATGATTAGACAGGATAGATTATAGAAAGAAGAGAGTCATGTTGTAACTAGAGTAAGAGGTAAATTTATAATTGTACTTCTAACTGCTGTAAAGAATATTGGAAGCCATTTCTTTGTATCTTTTTTTTTTAATTTTCCATTTTTCTTTTGCTTTTTTCCCTTTCTTGCACTTTCTCTTTGATTTCTTTCTTTTTCTTCTTTCTTCCTTTATATTAGTTTGTGTTAGTGTTTATCTTCTTTTTTAAAACTTTTAATAAAATTATTTTTTAAAAAAATGAGGAGAGAGAAAACGAAACACAGTTTGGCAGGGATACAGCAGGGAATAGGGAGGGAAACTGTGGTACCAGAGATTATAGTCCTACAACTAGCATTCCTCACAACTAACTCTGCCAGCTGGAATTGCTGAGAGTTGGTTCAGCTGGAAGAAAATGGGTCTGTTTCTAACTATAATTACTATATATTGTAATTAGGTTTCCTGGATTTGCTTTCTTCTAGTCTACTTTTCTTAGCCTGCTTCTCTTCTAAATATGTGAACGATGAGCTTCTAAAATAACCAAAGAAATAACATGGGAAATATTATCAAAAATACTTCAAAGGAATATTTCTTCTTTGAAGTATTTTTGATAATATTTCTAATGTTCTAGAACAATTATGATTAATTAGGAAACACAGCTCCATCATTATTCTTCTTGCTGGTCCATTTGAAAAATAACAGCATCTTATGAGCATTGGTTACACTTTCACTGAATCTAATGCTCGCAAAAGCACTAGATTTCTCCTAAAGCAGTGATCTGGATTGAAGTTGATTAACTTATATTGAAATAAAGAGCAGACACATGGATTAAAGTGTTTACATCAATATTAACATAAATATACCCAAAAAGAAGATCACATGGAGAATGTACCACAGGGCAAAAGTGCCTGCATGCAAGAGAAAGCAGGACAATTAGCCCTGTCCCTGAATTGATTATTTTAAAACTTTAGTTTCATGTGGAAATGCTTTCAAACAAGAACCCCCACCACAAAACAACAACAACCCAAAAACCAAAAACTAAAGTGGGATTATCCAGTAAAAGAAGTTTGTGACTCCAGGGAAGAAATGTTGGAATCAGCATGATATCTTAAATCTAGTCTACTTGTAAGACAAATGCCATGCCGGGCCATGTATACAGAAATAGAAAACTTTTCTAATGTTTCCAGCTATTTAGAAATAATGAAACCATTTCACTTCAGATAGTTTTACATTAACTAAAACCACTGTTTCGTTACTATTCTCCTAAAGAGAACAACGGAATTGTAAACAGTTATTAATTCCATTATTAATCATATCTATTGGGAAAGCACATTATAGTTTCAACAGAAGCACATAAAAATGTTATTGAAGGTTTTGCCTCTCCTATTTTCTTGATCGGAAAAAGAGGATGACTAGTGAAATTAATTGGCCTTCTTAGAAAGAAATAAACTTCAACTGGATAGATGCAGATAACTGTAAACTTTAAGATCTGGTCAAATAGATCTGTTTTGAAATATTGTTACGTTATCTAATGAATGCAGAAAATTATATCTGTATTATATGTATTGTTTAAGAGGCTATGTTTATTTCCCATCAAATAATTTACAACTGGAGAACTGCCTTAGATTCACTGAGATTTGTTTTGAATCTTTTTCTTTTTCTGCTTAGATTCACTAGAGACAGTTTTCCTTCATAATCTTATTTAGGAGAGAAGTGCCAAAAGGATCCTCTAAATTCAAGGTAATTTTAAATTTTCATTTTGAATTTAGTGACTTCCTGGCCCCCCAGCTGAGATAGGCAGCTTACATCTCAAAAGCAAGAAACAATAAAATAAATAAGACATGTATGTCCAGGAAAGAACTCACACCCAATGTGCTAGGAGAAAAACCCAACTAGATGTAGTCTTGACAATCTCAGGCCTGGGAGCAAAGCCACACTTTTGATGTATCATTTTAAGTGGCCAGGGGCCATAGGGTCAAGGCAGTGATGTGATAACATCCCCCAAATGGGCAGGGGCTCATTTTTAGAGAAAGCAGTGATTGTTTCAAAAGTTCACAGGTGCTACACCTGTCAGGCCTTCTGGTTCAGGAAGCACCACTGCTGTTGTTTCTTCAAGAGACCAAGATATGGCTGGGACTAAGTTTCCCATTAAGCCAATTAGCAGGTAATATCTCTGTATACTTTTTCATCAAGTATTGCCTTTATCCTGAGATTTCACTTTTCCCAAATTTCTGACACCAATTAGAACACTGTAATTTTTTTTCTAGTTCACTTTCTATTGGATATCAACCTGTCAAATATGGCAGCAAGATTCCATGGGAAGAACACTGAAAGCCAGAAAGAGTGTTGGAGTCTAGATTATCTGCAGATCAGGTTCTTCCTTTGTATCCAGATGAAAGTTACAAGCATAAGGCACCCACAGAATAAAATGTGTGTGCTGTGTATGTGTATTTGTATGTATGCTGGATAGGCTTAAAAGGTCCATCTAGTTCAGTATGCTGCTTCACAGCAGATACCAGATGCCACTGGGAGGTTGTCAAGTAAGACACTAGTTTCTGGCAGCTGATATTAAGTGAACTACTGTATATTTGTGTTACCATGTACTTTGCATACTTCACTGTATGCTTTGTAGAAATGTATTAGCCAGGTTTCAAAATTCAAGATTCTTTGAAGGCAGAATATAAAATACAGTGAGGTCCACATAAAATAGATAACTGTTTTCAAGGTTAAGGAGATACAGTGATGACAAAGAAAAGCAATACTGTCAATTACATTACTTACCATTTCAATCAATTAAGATTTGCTTGCAGGGTGGAAGAGAGCAAGGGAAAGTCACTTGTATAACACCAGATATGTAGAGCCTTATCCTATTTTTAAAGACCTGTGGGATTCCTGAATTCTCCCATAATCAAGATCGTATTATTGCATAGAGAAAAGGATTAACAATAGAGCAACTCACAAGTATTTTAAGTATTTTAAGAAACAATCTGGGATATGCCTGTCAGATCTTTGAATTCTTTAGGATTGAGACAGAGATTCTCTTTTCATTATGCTAGTTCTTCTGACATTTCTACATAGTTGAAGCAATACAGGTTTTAATAACATTACACAATGATATTACTGACTGCACAATTTTATTGTTGGAAATTGCCATGCGAATCTATCAAGCAGAAGGATAGGGTACAAATAAATGGCTGATTTTTTATTTATTTTTTAAACAGGGCGCCTGATAATTGTGTAACTCGAAGCTATCCAATTGCCAAATTGAATCTGGCTGGCAGTCAGCAATAAATACATTCTGATTGTTTCTTAGATGGTAAAAACAGTACAGGAAGAAGCAAGTTAATAGATGAATGGAAAAACAGGAAAAACGCTTTTGATAATATTAAAAATTCCACTGAAACAAATCTGGTGATATCTGCAGAGCTACAATGTTAATTCTGAAATGCACAGCTTGTGTTATATGACTACAGTTGTGTAATTACAACTTGATCCCCATATCAGCAACTATAGGATACTGCATTCTAACTGACAACTACAATCTTGTATTGGCTTCACACCCATCATAAAATGCAGGAGAAAGATTTAATGGAGGTCTTTATTTACATAGCTTTCCCACCCCCCACCCCCACCCCAAGTAGATCAAGAAGGTGGGATGTGTGTAAGAAAGGAAACAGAAAGAAATATAGGATAATGTAGGATACTTTGCTCTACTTTCTTGCTGTCTCGTGGAGGAGAAAAAATACGATGCTCTTGTCACTGAACCAGTTCAGTTTTCCCATTTATAAACAAGAAAATGAAGAGCCTTTTGTCAAAAGTGATTTCTGCAGAAGCTACTAAGAATATTTACTTAGAAATGCTGCGACAAAGCAGGACATTGCCCCTTAAGCAAAGAACAGGTCATTCTGAGACAAAATAAGACAAGAGAAAAGGAGTAGGATGAGAATACACACACACATCTACTAATACTAATGAAGGCTAGAGGATGACTTGTCACTTGCAGGTGTAATCAAAGCATCCAGACAGACATTGTTAAACAAAGATCATCTCATTCTACTGAAATGCATTACATCTCTTTAGAGCTGTTCACATACAGGATACATTAAGACAGCACAAATATTTGTAAATAATTCCCTTGAGCTTTAATGGGCCTTCCATCTGAATAAACAGATTACTCATTTCTTGGGTTTTCCTGTATTCTCACCAATCTGATCCCTAATAAGAGATATCGGTGACTGGATATCCATGACATATTGATCAACATAATCTACCCTTCTGACAGCCGATTCAATTGTTAAACTTTAATTCTGACTTTTATCTCATTTGTCCATTATCTAACATTATTTCCTTTAATGACAGATTCACAGGTTGTGGAAACCCTGTGGATATAGTGTACCTTGGTCCAGCAAAGCATTCCAGGTTCCCATGATATCTACACTAATAAAAATGCAAATTATGTGCAGGATGATATAACTGTTAGATGAATTCATAATTGGCTGATTGGATATATCAAGAAAATACTAATAAATGGCTTTGTATCACCTTGGAGAATAATATTGAGTGGATTGTCACAGTTTTCTTCTGGGCCCTGTGCTGTTCAACATTTTTATTAACGGCTTGGATAAAGGAGCTGAAAAGATGATTATTAAATATGCAGATAACACAAAACTAGAAGCACTGAAATTGGCTAATGTTTTAGAAGAAAAAGAAAAGATTCTGAAAGATCTACACAGACTTGAACTGTAGGCCAAAGAGACAGGATGAAATTTAACAGAGAGAAGTGTAAAGAATGGGGTCATTCCTTCTTCCCAAGTTCTTTTTTTAGAGTTAGAATTATAAATCCAATGTTTAAGATAAAGTATTCATATATCAAAATGCGCTTACTCCTCAAAATTATTCCTAAAATTATGCATTGGGGGGGAAAAAATCATGTAGGTACATAATAATGTCTATGTTGAAGGCGAGAAGGACTTGCATTTCTGTTTCCAAGGGACAAGAGAGACAGAGAAAAGAAAGAAAGAAAGACTTCAGTGTCTTCTTCACTTGTGGGCCTCTTACTGACTTTTGTAGAGGTTGATGAATCTGCAAGTCTCCACTTGAGAAGACAACAAAGATGGGTAATTCAGTGGAGTGGACAGCAGCTCATTTATTTCTGAAGATATTAAAAAAGAAAAAAGGAACCATCCTTGTTCAGGTTTAAGAAAGGCTGAAAGTTTGAAAGCCGGATGGCACTGCTATCAGTGTGTGAATTTGCTCTTAAGATCCACAAAAGAATACAGTACCACAAAGGAGCTGAAAAAAAAAAAAGTATTATATGGTTTTTATTGAAAGGTAGGAGTTCTAAATCTAGCACATTAATCTCCTTTCTAAATGCATGTAAACATAAAAAAGCTGGCCACCTAATATCTGTATTTACACCTTCCCTGACTTCTGTTCCACTTGGTACACATAATTAAACTGCCACTACTTTTTCCTGAATGGGGAAGTGTCCGACCCCATTTCTCTGGAATCCCCAGGACTGACCCTTTTACAAAGGGCTTCCCATTTAACAGAAGGGTCCAGCAATGCTGGACTAACAGCAAAAGATTTTGATTTTAATATATATAAAATAAAGGAGGCTTAGAATCACAGACAAAAATGAGCAATCGTTAAGCAGTAGAAACAGAGAAACAGAAGACCAGGGAATGCAGGCAACACTGAAACTACACAACTGAGTACAATGAAAAGAAATAAAACACCTCTCACGTTTTGGCCTAAACTTTCCCTACTGATTCCTGTTAACCCAGGATTTTTCAACAGATGGCTTGAGTCCCAAGTCCACTCAGAAAATCTGTTCCTTGCTACTCTAAGGACCTGCACCCAACACTGACCTTTAGCTACCAATCTGAATATCTTCCCACTGCTTCTCAGTGAAAAAGAGCAGAACTTTTTTAGAACTATACATTACTTAGTTTTACCATCTAACCTGCAGAACCCTAAATCCAGTATAGCTCTCATAAATTGTAACTGAATTTTTACTAATTTGACGTTTTGTGGGAAACATGCACTTACTCAACTACACCTTTAAATATCCAATATGATGAATATAAGAACACACCAAATTACATATTGCACATTTCTAACAGTATCAAAGAATTTCAGTTTTCCAGAAAAGAAGAAAGAAAAAATGCCCTTTTTCCTAGTATCAGTGTTTCTAAAACATCTATAGTTTTCTCCTTGTTACTTGCTTATTCCTTTGCACCTAGTGGAGTAGGTGGTCTACTCTAATACATAATCAATTCAGTACTTGGGTTTGAGAAGGAACCAAACAACAAAACCACTCTTCTTTCATGCCTTTTGAATCATGTCACCTTTTCAGGAGCAATGAAATTACACCAGTTCAAAATAGAAAAATTATCTACCTCCTATTTTCCTTAATGAATCCTTATCTGATCCCATAAAACACTGACATTGAGGTGATCTCCAAAGTCTGGCTATGAAAACTGCCCACATTTTACTTACGCAGTTCAAAGAAGGGGAGAAGAAGTATGCTGCTTTTTCTTCTAACAAAATAACTTTGAAAAGAGAGGAATGGTCAAAAGTGGCTAGATTTGGCAAATAACACTTCGAAGACCGAGCTGCCTTGTTCACATCATCACTAAGGGCTCTTCCAAATGGCTATGTTAAAAAAACGATCCAACTCTCCTTCATAAATTGTGTTATCTCCATTGCCTATCCTGGTGGAAAAAGTGCTATCCTTCTAGCCTGTTGTGAGCTAAAGAAGGGATTTAAAGAAAGGGATGTATGGATTCCCCCAATTTCATTTCCCGTCTCACCAGGGGGGGCAGGAGAACAATTACCAATCACTTTCTATAAGGGTGGGGTGGGGTGGGGTTGACTAAATGTAGCCAAAGAGTTTTAAAACAGTGGGTTTAGCTACTTGTCAAGTTGCCTAAAAATCACCTAGAGTCATTCCAGTGATTGAGGCAATGTACAAGTTGAATGAATGAATGAATGAATGAATGAATGAATGAATGAATGAATGAATATGTGTGTGTGTGTGTGTGTGTGTGTTTGTTATATATATATATATAACAGAACAGGCTGCAGGTGTCAAGTGGTACAAGAGGCAAAGCAGGAGGATGCTATGTTTCTGCTTGATGCAACTCTTCCTCATCACCTGCACCCTACCAGTCAGGCTATTTCTAAACATGGATCTTGTGTTCCTCTGAAAGAGTGCTAAACACATGTTCAGAAATAGCCAGCTGACAGATTATGTGGGGTGAAGCAGGATGTAATGATAACGAGCAAGCTTTGTCTTTCATTAATGCTTCAAGGGAATGGCAGTGCCGGTAACGAGTAACACAAGTAATCCATTTCTGACTTCATGGCTAACATGTCTGCCCCCTCCTCAAGAAACCTTCGCTAGATCCCACTGATATGGACAGCTTATGTCCAGTCTCCAAACTACCTTTTTTAGGGAGCATTTTTTGAGAATATGGTCACTGTACAGCTCTAGAGGATTCTGGAGTAAGTGCATTATCCAGACCTCCTTAGGTCAGGTTTCAGGCCATGACATACACTGAGATGGGTTTTGCCACTCTGGTGAATGACCATTGGCAGGTCCTGGCCCTCCTTGACTGTCCAGTGGCCTTCAATACTACTGACCGTGATATCCTTCTGGACCGGCTTAGGGGATGAGGAGTTCGGGGCACGGTTTTGTGATAGTTCTCCTCCTTTCTCCATGGTTGGTTCCAGTTGGTGTTGATGGCTTTGCCGGAGGGCTCTGTACTCTCCCCTCTCATCTATTTACATGAAGCTGCTGGGAAGGGTCATTCACCAGCATGGGGTGCAGTATCATCATCGGTCTGCTGATGATACTGAACTGTACCTCTCTGCCCCTGCCTGTCCTGGTAAAGCTATCAAGGTTCTGTTCCAGAATAAACATTTCAGCAATGTTTGCAATAACATTGCACATATAGCTGGGAAGAGTGGAGTTTTCTGGTGTGTAAAGTACATCGCATTCATCAGCTATAGCAACTATTAGCCACAATTCACATACATGCAATATTATTTCAACCTTCTGTGCTGGCAACCCATTTGCTTCTTACTGCCTTCTGCCAGTTGGAATGTTCCTTTGTATTCTATGTTTTCACAATAGCTGTACAGTATGCAGTACATAAATAGGTAGCAGCACATTCATCCCATGCAAGGAATTATGAAGGATTTAGGGGTGGTACACTGTGCGTGTCTTAAAAAAAATGGATTTGCCATAATACATGTTGTATAGAGTAGAAGAGGCCTGCCACATCAAGAAAGTGTTTATATTAACAACAAAAATCATTAAAAACCATCTACAACAAATAATCCAGCAAGCTGAAGCTCTTTTATTTGCCACAAAAAGAAAAAAAGAAAAAGAAAAAACATTTTACCTTGTGCAATGTCAGCAGTCTTTAGGCTGAAGCACAGGGAGTTTTAAGCAATGAAAATCCGATCAAATCAACAACTCTTGGGGTTGCCTCTTGGTACACTCCCCTTCCATTGTGTTGAATCTGTGCTGCAAAATGCTGACACTGAATGAGAATAAGGTTTCTACACCACTAAGCTGGACACTGTTGCATGTAAAGGTTTAGGCACCCCTGGTCAATCTATGTTTCAACTAATCCTTACCTGAATCGAAGTTGACCCAATCTTTCCTGAAGCACACAATCCTTCTGTTTATGCACAGTTGTTTCAAGATTCAAAAGAAGAATACAGTATGGTTTCCTATTTATTTAAGTACCACCTAATGGAATTTTGTTTATTTTATTTATTTAATTATTTATTTAATCTCTATAGCCGCCCATCTCAACCAAGTGACATATATTTTGTAAATGAACTACATTTACTTCAAACATACAAACTCGGATTTGTAAATGAGGTGATTTAACTGTGATTGACAACCCATGGTATACTCAGATATTTGTTCATAAGAAAATCTCAAGTTCAAAAAAAAAAAAATGCTATTGCATTCCCTTGAATAAACATTACCAAGACTGAAATGTAATGTATTTTAATTACTGTGAAGAAATTGTCTCCTTTCAGCCATAGAAGTTCACTGGGTGATCTGGAGTCAATCACCCTCTTTCGGTCCATCCTGGCCCACAGGTTTGTTTTTGTAAGAAGAAACTGGAGGAAGGGAGTACAATACATATTACCCTATGTTTGTGGAGAAAAGAGAGGATGCAATATTATATATTAAATGAATAAATAAATAATGAAATAAAATGTACATATAATTGCTAGTTTTTGAGGGAAGGGAATATAATTTATTTTCAGTCATTGACTGGGTCATCTGATTTTTCAGTTTACATATAATTCAATTTTTTCACTGACCATTGTAACATCATTAGGGAATGCATTAAGGGAAGTGCATTTTCTCCCCAACTAGCCAATTTCCTTGTATCTATTCTAAAACGTACAATATTATGTTCATAAAACCTGCAATCATATTAAACTGATTATGAATAACTGTGGTTCAGCTTCAGGATCAGGAAGGAAATGGTTGAGATAAATGATTATACTAAACATGATTGCCAGAAACGTTTGTCCTCCCACCTGCCCCTCCGCTGCTTTGCTTAACAGGCAGACTGATAAAGACATCTAGAAAAAAGAAGTAATATATGCCAGAATGACACATTCCAAGGTACAGGGGATTCAGGAGGGCAGACAAGGGAA